AAAAAAAAAAAAAAAAAAAAAAAGAAAGAAAAAGAAAAAAAAGTGGTTAGACCAGTATCCTTATATTGTTCCTGATCTTAGTGGAACAAATGGAGTGGGAAATTCCCCTCCATTGTGGGGAGCAAGATCATACCTGCCTCTGGGACAGGGGGACTTGGGTTCTGCGCTGGTGAGGCTGTGTGGGGAGCAGGCTCTGAGCCCCCAGCTCCCTCTGTCCCCTGCTCCCCAGGTATACAGTACCACCAAAATGCTTAGGGGAAAAGCATTCAGTCTTACCATTAAGTATGATATTAGTTGTGAGTTTTTGGTAGATACCCTTCATCAGGTTGAGGGAAGTTCCCTTCCATTCCTAGTTTGTAGAGTGTTTTTATCATGAAAGGGTGTTGGATTTTTTGAAATGCTTTTTCTGTGTTTATCGATATGATCATGTGATTTAAAAAAAATTCTATTGATATATTACATCAATTGACCTGGATATTGAACCAACCTTGCATTCCTGCCATAAGTTCCACTTGTTGATGGTGTATAATTATTTTCATATGATGCTAAATTTGGTTGGGTCACATTTTGTTGATGATTTTGTGTTTACATTCATAAGTGATAGTGGTCTGTAGTTTTTTTGTGATATATGTCTGGTTTTGGTATCTGAGTGATGCCTCATAAAGTGGGAAATGTCACCTCTTTATTTTTTCAAATAGTTTGTGAGTAATTGGTATTAATTAGTCTTCAAAAGATTGGTAGAATTCAGTGGTGAAGCCATCTGAGCCTGAGCTTTGTGTGTGTATGTGTGCGTGTGTGTTTGTAGTTTTTTGTTGTTGTATTTCTCAATCAATCTCTTGACTTGTTATCTGTCTATTCAGATTATCTATTTATTCTCAAGTTAGTTTTGGTAGCTTGTCCCTCACTAGGAATTTGTCCATTTCATCTAAATTATAAAATTTGTTGATGTACAGCTATTCATCGTATCCTTTTATAATGCTTTTTATTTTTATTGCTCCCCTCTTTCATTTCTGATTCTGGTAAGTAATTTGAATCTTTTTTTTTTTTTTTTAAGACAGAGTCTCACTCTGTCACCCAGGCTGAAGTGCAATGGCATGGTAGGAGCTCACTGCAGCCTTGAAGTTCTGGGCTTGGGTGATCCTCCCACCTTAGCCTCCCAACTAGCTGGGACTACAGGTGTGCCTCACCATGCCTAGCTAATTTTCTTTTTTTGTAGAGATGGGGTCTCACTATGTCATCCAGCCTGCTTTTGAACTCCTGGCCTCAAACAGTCCTCCTGTCTTGGCCTCCCAAAGCACTGGGATTACAGGTGTGAACCACCACCCCCAGCTAAGTCTTCTCTATTTTTCCCCACCATGGTCAACCTAGCTAAAGTTTTGTCAATTTTGTTGATGTTTTCTTTTTTTTTTCTTGAGACGGGGTTTCACCATGTTGGCCCGGCTGGTATCGAACTCCTGACCTCATGTAATCCGGCTGATGTTTTCAAAGAGCCAGCTTTTTGTTTCATCACTTTCCTCTATTTTTCTATTCTGTTTCTTTTTTTT